AGTTTCTTGATTCTCCTTATTTAGAGACCTACAAGATCAACTTACCTCCCCCTCCCACCCCACCCCCCCCCCTTTCAGCAATGGGTGGGGAAGTTTCTTGGTGGACCAGTTTCTTTCAGGGTCACATGATCCATTATTTTCGTATTGTACTACCATGGCCGTATAATAATTAAATGTGTTTGCACATGGGATCAGAAAATTAAAATCTTAGTATTTTAAACGCCCACAAGATTCTTTAAGCCTAGTGGGTCAACTTAGTCATTTCAGTGGCCATGAAATTTCAAATAGACATGCAAATAATAAATGTTGTGAAGGTTTGGGTGTGTTTGTGCGTTCCTCAGTCTGCGAGACGTGTTTATAGGAAATTCAAAAGAACTTCGATGAACCCATAGCAAGAATAATTACAGTATATCTCATTACCGGACAGATTTATTTACTACACACAAAACTCTGCCATTATCACATGGCATTCTTTTTTGTTATTATTCAATATAGTTACATAAAAACCGACCCTCCGTTACACGTGCATTAGCCACAAGCAATGTGTTTTAAGATGTTGACATGTTTAGTAAATATTTGGTTTATGTTTAAGCATATGTCATAGCAAGGTTTTTGTATTTGTAAAATCTGTACATTAGTTTGTCTTCGTTCAGTATAATTGTCTAAGCTTTATTGTAAGTTATTTGTTGTTATTTTGGTTTAACTTGAATATTTGTTTGTGTTGTGTCTGTAATTGGCCGTTTGGATTATGATGCAGCACACTAAAATAAATAATTAAATTGTATTTTTGTTATTGTTTATGTTATTATTAGCCAAAGTACATCCAGCAGAAGTTTACAGTCCTTTTCAGTAACGGCTCCAATACAGTTATGCGAATATTTTAGGCTACCGAAACTTAAATTTTCGTAATTTATGTACCGCTTATATAACCCTCTTCTTTTCATTTATACTTTTAATGTTGTTTATTCCTAGTTTAAATTGTCGATCTTATTTTTCTGACATGTAATTTTAAATATTTTTCTCTGTTGAAATATACAGTCCTAAAAACATCAACACAGCCTAATCTTAAAACAATTTGTTTTTGTTTGATAAATCAAAGTCTCTCGAAAAAAACCCTAAGATTTGTTTTCGTGTTGTTATATTCTGAACCACATGAATCCAATTTACAATTTACAAACAAATTACCTACTCTTCTCGTTAATATTAGCTCCCATATACGACGAAAAGTGGCCCCTTCTTTTGAAGCTTTCCAATCACAATTTTGTAAGAATTTGTCATCTCCCCCCCCCCAAGATTTCTACATACCCTGCCCATCTCATCCGCATATATTTTATAATACTAATAATATCTAAATTTATTTTAGTTCATTAAAATATTATAAGCCTGCATGTTTTCTGTCGGTATAAATTCCTCTTTGTGATGTGCTGATTTCTTTTTAGACAGATTTCGTAAATCACAGTACACAAAATGACATGGAAACCAAATATTAATTTTGATTCTCAGACCAAAGAAATTTCCCCAAATAATAAATGTAAGTCCCTTTGTTTTATAATAATTTACTGTGATTCTATGTCCAGTAATGACTACAGCTTAGTAAGTTGAGTAGGCTCTTACCATGACCTTGTCGTTGATTTTCTGTAATGCCTGAAGAAAAGGGGCGTTGAACTTTCATTCCAGTCTCACTGGGCCAATAGTAACTGAGCACGGAACAAGATAGAAGAGTCAAAAGTCTTGTAAGTGTCCAAAACATTTAACGCCTTCGTGGCAGCTTTTGTAAACTGTAGGGCTGACAAATTGCTCAGACTTTACTATCGTCCGATTGCTTGTTAATGAATGTATCTGTCCCTCAATTGATTTATGAAGTAATTTATCTTGAAAACAAAAACGTTCCAACTGTCAACTGAGTTTAAAGATTCTATAGAATACACATTAAAAATTATAGCACGAACAAGGTCGGAATATGGCCGCCATACAGTTTCACCGAATAATTAAGTGTTTGTTACCAAACAAATCATTAAATACGCCAGCTTAATCATACAGACGTAGTGTAGTATGTGATTGGACGGTCAAATTGTAACAAGTGTTTTTTTATAGAACGTCAAAACAGATTATTTCTCTTGTTTGTGGACTTTTGTTTCAGGTCCAAGGGTTAAATAACATGCTTATATTATTACTGAGTTGATTATTTAATGAAGATATTTCAACCCTGTGGTATAAATGTATACTGAGATATACGAGGACCATGAAAATCAATGGCGATTTTGATCTTAGTCATTTATGAAGACGACTGTCCTCTGGGTTGTGTAGTCTGAGCGATCACAGCCAGCAAGGACCTCTGAAACTTTCGGCAAATATTCTACCGGACCACACGGCGCAACAACCCGGAAGACAAGTCATCTTCCGACTTTCCACAGTGAAAACCTAAAAATCCTGCTTAATAATTTCTCTCTTGCAGATCGATAGCGAAATCTGTCGTCGAAAATTTCTGTGCGAGTTGGCTGAAAATCCTGAAGATTTTTCTCCGTTATCCGATATATTCTTTAAACAACTTGAGTAAGATACATTTATTTTTTATTTAGTTGTTTATTAGAATAATAATAATAGATATTTCTGTTATTTAACACATTAGCTATCAAGTTTCTGAGCCAGTACAAAGATAAGGTTTATATATCATTAAATATATAACAGCCTGCAAATATCATTTTGTACATTATAGAGAATATCTGAAAATTATTTAAAATTATAATAAATCAAAACGAAATTCTTAGCTTCTCAACTGATAGCCCCCTTAACAGCAGAGACTGTAACGGGGAAAAGTACTTGAACAAGTAACTAACTTCAATTAGGCCCATATTTTGATTACAAAATAGTCTTTCAATGCAGATTCCTTACATTGGCTGCCTATGAGTCAGAATTCTGGTCATCATAAAACATGCGGAGTCGAGATTTATCTCATTTTATATCGGGATACAGATCCACAATTAAGCATATTTCATAGTTTAAAACATTAGAATCTAACAAAGCAATGAGAAACGAATGCAGAAACATCGTTTTCCAAGAATATTCAAAATAGAAATATGTTCTGAACCATACGAATCCAACCTTGTAAGGAATCCGTCAAAGACAGACACTTCGTATTATGCTGTACTTTTACGATTAAGAGTTATTAGTCTCCTGTATGACACATCAGCTGGAGAACCGATTACATCTAAGAATGCTTTTCAGTTATGAAAATTTCATAACTCCTCAACTTCAGATTTCATGGGTAAACACTTCAACTTCTTCATATTCATAATTAATCTCGAAAGAGAAGAAAACTTTAGTATTCGTATATTTATAATTAATTTCGAAAGAGAAGAAAACTTTAGTATTCGGTAGGATTCCTGATATAGAAATTCGACCCAATAATTCAATTACGAAATTAATTTCTTGTGACGCGTGATGTTGTTCTTTTGTAATGTGTAGGCGACTCCTTTCGTTCATTAGTCCATAAATTCTACGCCAGGAATCTGCAATACCTATTAAGTTTCTCATTCACGCTCGTCAAGTACAACACAACATGTACAGATTCTTTTGATTAAGTTTCTCATTCACGCTCGTACAACACAACATGTACAGATTCTTTTTCCTTTATTGATTTAAATTAGACTTCTCAACGTCACTTCCTAAAAAATATCAAGAAAGAAACCAAAATACGACAAAATTTTATCCAAGAACATTTTGTAACAAAAAATTTTGACTACTGTTTATCTAACAAGACAATATGTTGACTTGGTGTATACCAAACAAATTTAACGCTGTTCTAAAACAAATGACCTTTAAATACTGCCATCACAAGGCGTTCAACTTAGAAGTAAGTAAGATCAGACAATGGATAATTTATATTCACATCTGCATTCGCCCACTGCGCCAATACACGGTATTTCTAGTAGTTAATTAAAACAAATGAACAACAATAATAATATGCCAACAGACTCTGGCTCCGCTAGATAAAGCTCTACCCGGATATAATTTTTATTATTTCTTTATACTATCAAGTTCTTTGATATGACCAGTCTATTATATATAAGTCAATTTCCTGCCAAGCGGAACCACAGTCACTGCCTACAATTATGTCTGTCTATTAAATAACATATGGAAATCCGGAGAGACGATGTTTACTGAGATATGGAACGAAGTCTTATCAAAAACAATACGAGGCAAAATATTTCAAAAATAAATAAAATATAGGATGGCTGTCTTCTGGGTTATGGCGCCCGGAAGACATCCATCTTCTGACTCACCGTAGTGAAGAACTCAAAAATCCCAAATAAAATAAGAGTTCGTAAATGACTGGGAAATTCTTTAAAAAATTATTAGCTACCGAACATTTCCAAAAATTTGATGAGAGGACAGACGTTTTGACAGGTCAGAGAATTTTAACGGAGGCTTAGAAACACATACGAAGGTCTTGTAGCCCACGGACCGAGAAACTATGTCTTTCGTGTACTTTGTGTATTTGTTCAAAAACAATGCATCACTTTTTGTAATACAAAATTTTTATCTCCTAAATTAAATATATTATATTTAGCGAATAATTAAAAAAAAACAGTAAATGTGAAGTACAACGAACGGAAATCATTATTATCTAAACCGGCGTGCCCCGAGTCTATAAGGAAGGCTGAATGCTGTCCCGCATCTTAAAATGTTGAGAAACAGTTGGCAAACAAGTCGTATGATTTAATAAATGCGATCTTTGCCATATCGCATTTATCGAGTAAATTTATGTTAACGATACATTTATAAAAACATTTATATTATCAAGAGTAAATATAACGTCTAAAATACATATAATATAAAAAATCAATATATTCAAGTCAAAAAAAGTATTCGTGCAACAAAGTTATTAAATATTCTTGAAAATAAACAAATATCGTATTTGGTATGAAGACCTTCAGCATTAATTATTGCCTGAAGTCTTCTTACCATCTAATTAACAAGGTTGGCAGTCACTTTTGACCTATTTTATCCTATTTCTTCAAGTTTTCAATGAGAATTTTTCTTGGCGAATATTTTCATTTCCTAATTTTTGTATTAAAAAGTGACCAGAGACTTTCTATCGGATTAATATAAGAAGATTGTGGAGGAATTTGCAATAAATCGCTAGTGTTATATAAAGGCCATTTTCTCCTTACACGAACTGTGTGTTTAGGATCATTATCTTGTCGAAACAAATACGAGTCTTGGATCCCTAATTGAGAAAACTCTTCTTTAAATTACACTGAACTATGTTCACATATCCCTTAGCGTTCATAATCCTTTCAACTGTAAATTCTCCCACACCTACGTAGTTCATTCAACCTCAAAACATTGCGTAATATCCTCCATGTTTCACTGTTGGTACAAAGTTTTTTTCATTAAGTTATATTTCGACTTTCACCAAACATACTGTGAACCATCAGAGAATAAAACTGTTTTCCAGAAGTCGATAAGCTTGTTTACATGCCTGCAACTGATTCATTTTTATTTATAAGCAAGAGAACAAAGGCAAATGTTTGTTTGATACATTTATGGATTAGTACTGACTAACATTCAAATAGGAAAGCCTAGTGTTTGTAAACATAATCTAATGTATGAAAACTTTTTTACATTGAAATCAAGACATTTTTTCTGTTTACTGAAAACTGTGTTATGTTTACATTTTTTGGACTAAATATTATTATAAATTTATTATTAAATATTAATTATACATAAATATATTTTCTAGCAGATCAAGAAAAAATGGTGCATGAACATTTCTTTTTAACCACTGTATGCCCCGATTAACCGCGTGTTCCTTGTAGCAATAAGACCTTAAAATAGCTTCATTGTGAATTTCACATCCGAGTTCTTAATGTTTTCCTTTCTAATAAAAATTAACTGATTCTACTATAACCTATGGAAGGCCTTTCACTGAAATTCGTTCTAATATTATCATCCAAACTACGACTACGTCTACAAACTGGTAACTTGCCTTTGTTTCTCCAGGCATAAACGTTGTAGCTATTCGTTTCCATTTTCCTAGTGCGTGTTGTATGCCCTGCCCATTTTATCTTTCTTCAGTCATTCTACCTTATGCACGCTCACCAAGAGAAGACCACTGGGACGAATTTTCTGTTCGCTCCTGCACACACACACACAATACCATGCACTGCACTATTGGAGACTACTGGCGTACAATTTGTTTGGAAAAGGGAAAGGAAGAGTGCGCATGAGTAAGGATCACCCCTTCTTCACCTCCGACTTCGCAACGGACTTCTCGTGGCGCGAGGACAGTAGATTCCACGGTGACGGCGGAAATGTTTAAGATGACGTATGACAAAATTAACACCTGCCACATAAAATTATGTATAGAAATTATAACTACGCGGAAATGTTTAAGATGACGTATATGACAAAATTAACACCTGCCAAATAAAATTATGTATAGAAATTATAACTAATTTGTATAATTATAAATTATTATTTCTTGTTAATTTTGTCGTATAAAATGAAGCATCTGAATTTATTCTTAGAACTTACAGGTTCTTTCTTTCTGTGTCTCATGTCGAAATATTGTTTTAAGCAGACTATGGTTCCCGGAAGATGAAGGCGGTCGCTACTCACAGTACGTCATAGCGGCGCAACACGGAGTCATGTCAGCAGAGAATGATACTCAGACCGGAAGCTGTGAACACCACTTCTCTTCCTGTCGTTCCGAAGCAAGAAAGATATTTGACATGGACGCTATCAATTTCTGGAAATTTCTGGGTTCAGCCTTTAACTTCAGAATCAGCGAGTGAACAAAGATTCTTCAAGTTCAGAACATTTGCAATAAAATGTTTTAGTAAAACGTGCTACCATTCTTCTCTCTTCAGAACTATCCTCCCATAAACTTAAAATCTATAATAAGTTTATATGCTAGTTTTCAGTAAGCTAAGCATAAGATTTGAAGTAACTCTCAAGGAAAAAATGTCGATTATAGTCCGATTTAAACGCCACGTAATCTTATAGATGTTTGTCGATTATAATTTTGCTTCTTTGAGATTATCACCAAAGTTTCAGAGGAGCGTTTTATCTCTGTAGTCAGGGTTAAATGAAGATGGCGGCAAAACGTTGGTAATATCCTAAAAGACGCAATACTACAATCAAAAGGCATCTACAAGACAGAACTGCGTCACAACTAAGACCAAAGCCTTACTCTTTCCTTCGTTTCTCTAAATATTTTCCAACCATTTATTTACCTTAAACAAAACGTTATTAACATATTTAGATCTATATTTTAACACATATTACAACATGTGTTCGACGATCCGTTAATGAGCAAATCTATAAGTTTGATTTGAGCTTTACAAGAAGCAGAGTTTATATTTAATTAATACACAACAGATACATCCCCATTGTGCGTTTTCTGAAAACATTCAAGAACAAATTACGAGTCTTGTGACCAGTAACCGAAATGGTAAAAAAAAAAATAGATTTTCACGCGAACACACACACATATAGGCCTATAAGAATATATAAAATTTATTATTAGATAATATATTTTTGTGATTTTAGGTAAACAGTTTGTGGGGAAAAGTCCATCAATGTGAGCTGGCCAAAGGCTTTTGTGACATGGTCCAAAGTGCTATCAGCTAATTGCCCAGGAGATAACTAAACTAAATCTATGGAGCAGAGTCCGCCTTTACAAGACGACAGTTGCGCTCAGCTAGTTAATAATTTACCCACCTTTAATTAAACTCATAGGCTCATTAAACTTTCATCTATGCCTTGGACTTCCAAGTAATCTGTGCTCTTAAAACTTTCAAAATGTAACTGTTCGTAATTTTGTCTTCACACTCAGATCATTGCACCCGTCATTTCAACATAATCACCTTAATATTTGATTAAGAGGTCCAAACATTCTCATCAGCACTTTTAAAATTCTCAGTTTATGTTCTTTCCTTAGGATGATACCAAGTTTCAGAGTATAAGCAAAATTATAGTTTTGTAGCTATATTTTAATGAAATATACAGTGTTGATGTAGATTACTGACGTTTCTGTAGCTTTCATAGCTAAATTGGCTATCACGTTCTGTAGAAACCTTCCCTGAAACCGATTTAGTCTGCTTTCTGACTACTGGCCGTGAGAGTATAGAGCAGTCTGTCAATCAGCAATTAGAACTGCATCTGCGTAATGATCAACACAGCTTAGCTTCGAGCGAGGTTGTCTCATGTATCTGACAGCGCACGACTATGCTACCAGTTCCCATGCGCTGAATTAAACAACACGCATGGAAAGATATCTTCAGTAACTCATGATAATCACGAGAATCGTCGGTGAGGTTAGTTCTTAAGCCTCGAACTCAATGTCTCCCGATCTTCAATCTGTAAAGTTGTTATCACTGAAACCAGCTGCGTCAGAATTCCACAAATCAAGTTTATTTAAATAAATGTAAAATGCTTTGTGGTTTGTGTGGGTAGTTTTAAAGTATGGAGCCCAGTCTGGTCCATATAATTCTGCATCAATATCAGAATTATAAGACGCTGAATTACAATGAAATGGAATGTGATTTCCCAGATATCGGGCTGTGTCCGGCTGAAAAATCCATTCAAAATACATGAATTTTTAGTTTAGTATATAGTGTTTGACATTTGTCTGATCTTCGTTCAAGTTTGCACAGATGAGACGATATTACAAGAGATCTTAGAGGAATAATTCGACATTTGAAATCGATTTAACAAGTTCAGAATATAGTCGGATGGTGGTATTTTGTAAACACTGTGATGATCATTCAAGTTTCTTAGCAAAAGGTAATTTACTGACCTGAAAAATGACTAAGATTCATCTTGCACAAAGAAAACTGTAGTTTGCCATGGAGTCAGTCAGAATTTCTTGTGGGCCGAGCAGTCTGAAGACTGTTCGTTCTTCTTGTGCGGATCGAGACTGCGAGTGGGTTGCAGAAAAGTGGAAGGACCCACACGGACATACACTTTCAATACAAGGTGATAAATGCATAACGTTTATTAGACTTTATTCAGGTGTGTCATATTGTCATATGTCCATTTTAAGACCAAGGCACATTTTAATGACAAGATACGAGTACTCATACTTGGAGGAATGACGCAAAATGTATCACAAGGCGTCTCGTTGCTGTATTTGTCTACTTTGCCTCTAGGTACAGCTGTCTGATATACGGATAGAACCCGATTCGAATCTCGATCTGGTTACTAATTTTACCGACTAAATTTTTTCTACTTCTATCCACGTCATTCCAGAAATAGTACCTTAAAATACGCCACAACCGAACCATTTGACAACATTACCAGGTGATTATTTAATATCACCCTCACATTTAATGCAAATCTTTCAAATCCTTCAACCTGAAACGGAATCATTAAATAAAAAGAATTGTCATCATAAACATCTTTGTTTATTCACATATTATTTCAACCACGTTCTGCAATTTATAAGGAAATATAACTTCTTATGTGACTTATCTGATAATGATTTAGCTAACTTAAGTATTATAACAAATGTTTGTGTGAATATCACGTCGCTAGAGGCAACCTCAGCTTTGCATGGATTCTTATTCTTAAAGTGCCTTCTGGATTTTGGCAATCAGCAAGCAATTTGAGCTTTATTGACTGCTACTTGAAACATCCCTCCAGTGGACATCCAGGACAAAGTTTTTAGGTTTTGAAGCAAGGAGATTCTTGGCCTGGCAAGTCCCCTCTTTCCGAATACATTTCCCCTGGATTATCAGCTGAAGCAGCCCGTATCTATCATTATTTCTCATGATATGACCGAAATATTCCAAATTTAGTTACTTTCTTACAATTAATAGCACAATCATAACTAACTAATCATAACTAACATCTGATGTAGCAGCGACAGTAAGACCGATTAATGTAGAGTCCAGAAATTTTTCTCAGCGACCGTAAGGCCGATTAATGTAGAGTCCAGAAATTTTTGCGTGGTATTAAATCTGAGAAAAATATACAACTCTTGTTAATGAATTACTTTTTTACGCTAAAAATACGATGACCGTTGAGTGAAGTCTATAAGTATGAGAGCTGTCATTGCAACTAGGAATATGAAATTTCGTATGTATACAGATTATAAACACATATAGGCCTACCTACTGATTCTGTACAGAAATTATTTTTACAAGTATGGCAACGGTCCTAAACTATGAGGTTAATACAGAAGAAATTAATTACTAGATTAATTTGTCAATTTTGATTTTTCGTGTTAGAACGGCGTGTGATCTAGTAGGTAGGTACCAACATTTCGGAGGAAAATACTGTTATAGCATATTAATTTATAATTTTTGCTAACCACATCATACGACATCGAGTGATAGTAGAAAAGGAAAAATATAAGTTGAGTTTCCCCTTGAACGTCTTTTCGTGGTACTGGATTCAAAAAATTAAGGAAATGAAATTACACAAATGGATTGTATACTTTATTCTTTGCAACGGCTACTTAGAAGCAAGACAGGTTTGTAATGGATCCTTTCACAGGATACATTTGTGTACAGATCCACATTGAACTAAGTTTTATTATGCCATCTTATACATGATACAAACGAAACAGACCTATGTTATTTAATAAAATGAGCAAATTCGAAATATCATATGGAAAACTGACAGTATATATATTTTATAAAAAATAATTGTAATCTGAGTTATTAAAGTAGGGAAGTCTCGAGGTCTAAAATTTACACATACGTTGTATACAGTTCATGATGACGAATCTATACTCACGTCGTCAGATGATAGACTGTTGATACTATGTAGAAACGTAAATCAAATTGACACATCAAAGAATTATGTAAAATTTAAAAGTTATGGTGGAATAGCTTTCATTTAACAGGTCGTCAGAAACCAAGTTTACATGGTGTATGTATAACTTCAAGTGCCTTCATGAATATTTTCTATTTAATCCCGCGGGAAATAGGTCTCATGGACCCTGTCATAGTGTGGCTAAGATCTTCTATCTCCTGCCCGTAGGAATCAGAGTCCTGTACTTTCAATCATGGAGTCACTGTTGCTTCTACGTTATCATATTTGGTCTCCCAATAGTGTTTCGCCCTTTTCCAGCCACTGTATCAGTTCTGAGAGGCCACTGATTTAAAACTGATGATGAGAATTTGTTAGTAACACAAATACGCATTGTTCATATCAAGAATTCAGTGGAATAATTTCAAGATACATAGTGCGTAAGCTTACCGTCGTCCATAAAACACCACCAGTCTGAAGTTGAATGTACAAAGTTTGTAGACCTGAATAATCTTACTACAAAATGCTTTAAAATAAAAGAAATATATTAAAATTATAACAATTAGGCCTACATAAGCTTCAGTAGGACATCTTAACATTTATATGAGATATATTTTGCCATAAATATTTATAATAGTTTAGTCAATTTTAACTTTCAGTCTTTCGAATAATGTGAAATAATCACGAAAATTCTAAAATATAAGTTACTACACACATTTTTTTATAACAGATTCTTACAAAAATTAGTGTATAAAAATATAAAAAAAAATCATTCAATATATATGCGAAAACAACAGTTATTAATTATGAAACTGAATTATGTTTTCGGCTTGGTAATATATTTTGCGGTAACTATGTACTAATATAACTTTACAGAAATCTAAAGTACCCTAGTACCAAAATTTAAAGTAATACACACATAAACCATTGATATTTTATCGCAAGTGCCCAATTTTAAATCTTCCGAGCCATTAGACGGCCTTAGCCCGAAATTTGTACGCACCGTGTTCTGGCCCAATTTTAGCCTCAGTCCAACAATTACAATTATCTTAACATTATTATCAAAATAAATTACCACTGATCATTTGTCATATATTCAAATAAATGCACCTCAAAGTAAGTCCTCTTTTGGGTTCAGTCCGACATCGGTAAATACATTTTCAATCAAGTGTCGTGCTGAGTCCGACAGTTTATAAACCAAATCAGAGTAAATTTGACAGAGTGGCATTTTAAAAGGACAAAATATGGGTAAACCAGACTAAACGTTTAAAGAAGAATAATAATCCAAGAAGAGAGGATAATTTTTAAATATACGGTAAACATTTATGAGTGGAATAATTTACAAAACACTTTAATAAAGTAACATGCAGGAGTACATATTTGAATTTTTTTAATTTATTTGTTAAGACTGATCCTCAGGACAATATAAATGAACATTAAATTGAGGAAAATATAAAACACTTGAGCTGGGATTATCAAAACTGAAAATTAAATGAAGGAGAACGTTAAAGTCGAGAAACATTGAACAGGGATTCCAGTCTATTTATAATTAAGGCAATTTTATCCCTTTCCACGATAAGTTCTGTTTAGCAAAACGTGTTTCCTTTGGTTATATATAATTGGTAACTAATGCATGACTTCAGTCGATGGAAAGCTACAGTTATTTGAATTAAGAAAGAAACCAATACAAATACAATTTCACATACGTTGTTGAACCATACTTATTCAGAACAGTAACTATTTCTGAACGAATAAATATCTTTCCTAGCATGAAAAAGGGTTAATATACAAGAGATAAAAATGGTACTTTTATCCACACTTCATATTCACTATAAGCTAGAACGAGATTGACAGTTCATCGCTTCATTAACTTGTCTGAACTTGTAGAGTCGTCCTAGACGCTATCTTGTACTTCAGACTCTCGGCAGACGAAATGTAGCTCCACCTCAGACCGGACACCCTGTAGTCATGTAGAACATTATCGTTTCTCTTGATTCTAAACGTACGTTAGGTAGGATTTGAGGTTGTCACGGCGATGATTTTGAAGATGCCCGGCTGGCCGTCTGCGACGTTGTTGCACCGTGTGTTCTGGTAGGAGTTTACCAACATTTCAAAGGTCCTTGCTGCCTCCATCATCAGGGCGATGATGTTAAACTTCTACCATGGCACAACAACCCGGAAGACATCTATCTTCGTGCGTTAGGTAACCAAATGCCATTCATGGATAAATTTTCTATTGCAAAGATTATAACTAAAGTCAACTGTCATGAGCAACTGCTTATGCTTATTTAGTTGTAAATCTAGATTTAAAAATTCGTTTTAATTTCGCTTAATATTGATATTGAACTAAGAAATGGTATTTTAAACATGTTCACGGAAATTTGGTAATTGTGAGCATGCTTCCCTGGAATTATTGTCTGGGTCATATCACACAAGGTTGGCAGTAAGGAATGTAGGGTGGTAAGACTGGAACTCCTGGTCAATTTGTGGCTTTATCGCGAAGTCGAATGTTGAGATTCAAACCTGAAAAAAAAAAAGATAAATATATTAGCTAGACTTCTCCAAGTGTAATTCACAATAAAATAATATACAAATAAAATAATATATCGTAAACATTATTAATTCGCTGTTACGTTTTGTTAACGAAACCGAATATATATCTCCATTTATGAAAGTTTAAGATTGTGCTGGAGTTTGTTTGCATTTCCATTTTAAAATCTATCGCCGCATATATTTACTTCCTTGACAACGTTTAAGTTACCTCAGTTAATAACATTGAGGATTTTACGAAAAACTCATTCAAGAACAAATTTTGCACCTCCCACCCCACCTGCATTCTCGCACTGCCCATCGGTTAATATAAAATAAAAATTACTGAGCGCGAAAATATATCGTCATGAGACAGATATAAAAAATAGAATCCACAATCAACACATTACTTCCATCTACCGCCATATTTCTGTTTGCTGAATAGCAGCGCTGTATTTGAGAAGTGATAGGATTAAGGCTCTATTGTGTTCCAGATTCATTTATTTAAGTTGCTAAGACAACATTACTCATAAATGACAGGTGCCATTGCTACCAGGTATAAAATTGAAACTGTGGTTATGTATGTTTCCTTATATCTCGAGAACGGATAAACCAATTTGCACCAAACCTGGCATGATTATTCCTTGAGATCAAGAAAAGCCTTTAGAGAAGCCATAGCTCTTAAATTGTCCTTAGTTTGAATCCCGCAAAGATTTATTCCTGTAGCCCCGAAACTAAGAACAATAGAAGAATGGCTTGCATATTACAGGAAATAAGGTCGCAAACCTGAACACCAACCTGGGTTGGAATCTCGGTAAAGATGAGTTTAGAAAAATAAATTCTGTGATACTCGTTGATATTTATCGTATGATCAAACCTGTGGTAAGAAATGTATGCATTTGTCGAATTTCCACAAAGTAACACTGAGTAATGCTAGTAATGGACTAAAAAGGATATTTAATATTTATCTCTTCTGTTTAAGATAGATTTTCTTTGAATATAATCAGGCCTGTATAATTCAGATTGAAAATTTTTTGCAAAGTATATATTCGATTAATTCTTTTTGACGTAAATACGTCTATATTTTAGGGTCAGTGTCATTCGGCAAAAATGTAACGAAAAAGTGTTACGAAATAATGACGGCTATTTAACTTTTTTAACTGTTGAGTCCGGTACCCGAACAAAAATAAATGACCATAGACTACGTCTATTAAACGTAGTTCTTCATGGTTCTGCCAGAGATATTTCGCCTTGTAATAGTACTGCGGGATCTTTACCCTGGGGGGTCGGTGGGTAACCTAACCTAACCTAACCTAACCTAACCTAACCTAAACTAACCTAACCTAACCTAACCTAACGTAACCTAACCTAACGTAAACTAAACTAACCTAACCTAACCTAACCTAACCTAACCTAACCTAACCTAACTACTATCCCGTAAGTAGAAACAGACGAATACATTCCGCATCTTCACACACAATTTCCATAAAATCCACTTTAATATTATCCTTCCATCTATGCCTAGATCTAAATTCTTTGAGAGTTCTCCAATTCTCCCATGCGTACGGCATGCCCTGCAAGACTAACGACCCTAATTATATAGCACTTTAATGTGCAGGCAGGGATCAAACCATTTTCCCCATTATATGTCTACTACTATAATTTGTGTATCTTTACCTATATTCATCATGTTTCCATTTGGCTTAAAACAGTCAAATTTACCATCAAATCAAAGATAAATACTGAAGCTGGCCCTGTGTCCAAACACCGCCTCATAATAGTATATAGAGGTCTCTGAAGTGAAGATCCACGCCCCCTATAGCAAATCATAATTACCTTCTCCTGGGCTAATCACAGTGACATTGTAATAAAGAGTATTTCTGAACAACCTGTAGTCACGTGCCTCGGGTTGTATATTTATAAACTTATAAGTGTGTGTGTGTGTGTGTGTGGAGCATGTAGTGGCCTTACAAACTAATACCAGTTGACCTTTCGCTCTGTCAATTAAATGGCATTTAGATAACTTTATAAAGAACCCAGCACACTATAAGCTTCTCAGTGCAACTATAATGTCGTGGAGCGAAATGAATTTCACAAATATTCACCAATGAATCATATATTATTATGTTCACAGATTAGATGTGCTGGCAGTTTCCAAAACAGAACTAAATCTGAGATAATATTTCTAACCAGATCCAAATATTGTTTGATAATCCCTTTCCTTATAACTTGTGTTGGGCAAGGCCGTGGTCTAGGCAACACGGAGTTTTCCTCCGTGGCATCCCAACAATTACTCCATTCACACACAGTAGAAGGCAATGGCAAACCACTTCTGCATCATCTGCCAAGAACGTATATGAACAGGTCCCAGTCCGAGCAAAGGATGGAAGGATCCTGTTCATATGGACCTGTCCTCAGACAGAACACTAAATAATAATAAGATGAGGTGGTCTAGCGGTTAGAACGCTGGCCTTGTAATCCTGGGGGTCTCGGGTTTGATTCTCGGCGGTGCCCGAATTTATAACTTGTGTTGGGCAAGGCCGTGGTCTAGGCAACACGGAGTTTTCCTCCGTGGCATCCCAACAATTACTCCATTCACACACAGAAGAAGGCAATGGCAAACCACTTCTGGATCATCTGCCAAGAACGTATATGAACAGGCCCCAGTCCGAGAAAAGGATGGAAGGACCCTGTTCATATGGACCTGTCGCCAGACAGAACACTAAAAATAATAAGACTTTCCTAACAAATATTCATCAGAAACAATGAAATACTTTCAGGACTACATAGGAAATTTGACGAGTGGGGGTTAATTTGAAGTGTATATTGGCTTGATGCTGTAGGATGAACAGCCAACAGGCTTTCGCATTCCTCTTTACATAACGGACCAGTAAAACCGTTCTTTTCTTACTGTATTTACGAAGGTGCAACTCCATTAAATTACCGGTTTAAGTAAAATTCACTTGATGATGTCAGATGATCAATAGTTTTCCGTGAATTACCTGCATCTTTACTGGAGTTCTACATGTAGAGGAGCCAGTTCTCGGTATATTGAATCAGAAACACAGGTGGTTCCACACTGAGGAGGAGACATGACGTCACAAATGAATGCAGAACACTACGTAAGGAGAAACACGATAATTTATACTCTCCACCTAACATTCCTAAAGGGAAGACAGCAATTGACAGAGCTAGGCGTAGATGGAAGGATATTATTAAAAGATCTTAGAGATAAGAATGTCGGGCAGATTTTGTGAGCAGGATAATGAAGGCATAATAGTAGCAAGAATTTCATTTAGCAAATAAATAAACCATAATACCACTGGTTAGTTAGACATTTAAATCTTTGAAGGTAAAATTTTTCCAAATAATCATCATTATCAGTTGTGCTATCCTGAGAGATTTCCTGGTCTTCAAGTGTGCATTTATGAGTAGTGAGTGACCAGCCGACTGATTTTGTACAATTTCTACTCAATCCCGATTTGACTGCCAGAGCCATCTAGCAGTGAAGTTTTTTCCAAATAATATTTTACACCTGAAGATGGTTCGATGAAACCGAAACATGTTGTAAAAATGTTCCAAAAGTAAATCGATTATTCGATGTGGAACATAAAATGATATTTTAATTATCTTATTTGTAAATTTTAAATATAATTGTGATTAGACGGACAAAAACCGAATAATTAATTTAATATTTGATTCACAATATGATGCAATTATGCTATCTTATGACTTCGTATCTCCAAAAAAACACAATTATTAAATAAAATGTATGATTGTTTATTAGAATTACTGATTCTTAACGTAGGTGGTACATATAGTCACCACTGGAATTTACAAGTTTAATTAGTGGTATCCAATGAATGTTTCTTTGTTCACTAAATCAGTTAAATGCTTTGTTTAATGTTCCGAAGACTTAACGTTAGCAGCACGGTACAATTCAGACAATTTTTAATTTGCCTTAGCGAATAAGTGGCATATAACGACATAATTTGTGTGTTTATGTTTCAGTTTCTTGTTTGTTTTCTCGCACGCCTGCGACAAATGGCCATGTGCAGAATAGCAAGTGATATAAATGTCCCCCCTACCAAAGATTATGCGACACGCGAAATGCTCCTCCTTCCCACAGAGAGAAAAACCGGTCAAAGCTTATTTAGTGCGTGATGTACATTCTGCTTTATATGCACAAGGCCTTCCACCGAAACGGCTAAGAACTTTTACATGTAAATACGTCTAACCTGACACCGATCCATTCGTAATGGAGTGCCGAAAGGCAGAATAAGAATTGAGCACAAAATTTTCGTCATAAACCTCAGTGATACAACTTGCGACATTAGTAGTAGAAAATGAGGTAATATTAAATATGCTTTAGGGGAACTATTATTTACATTACAGCGTATCATAATGAAATCCATAATAATTTTTGTATACCATGAGATACTGATTTACAGTTTAATGTGCCGTCATGTGCAAAAGTTTGTAATTTTAATTATTTTTAAGTTTTAGAGGTAAATCTCATTTCAGGGCACACATTATTTATAATTGAGTTCTCTTTTATCTATGTTCACAAAACCTTGCTGTTCATTTATTGTAGGCATAAATTCTTTGTTAAACAGTCCACAGATATTAGACTACGTAGTTAGAAAATATTATTTTCAGTAGATGTCAAACTTTTGTCATATTGTAGAATGTAAACTTTTAAATATATATTAATATTTGATCTACATTTTATGTTATATATATTTATATACTAATTTTTTTTTTTGCCTGGTTAGGAGTTTTTCAGAAATCTGATAAAGTTTAACTTGGTTTTTCTGTCAATACGAACATACCCTAATTAGACGAACATGACCACAGATATTGAAGTCTATTACATCCATATTTCATAAAATCCGTAAGGAAATACTGTATATTAATTATATTGAATGATAAGTAGACTACTGCCTACATCTAGTTTACAAAGGATTTATATCTTTAAAGATTGAAATCCTTCC